GCCATGTAATGACAATGTCACAGCAATCGTGACGCTGCCACGAGCTCGGCTGCAGGTTTATTGTGGCTTCAGTTTGTAATGAAGCGCTGTCCTCTGGTCTCGCTGCCTGATAGAAGAGATAGCAGGTGAGAGAGAGGTGACAGGAATAAGCAATTGTAAGCTTCAGGATGGATGGTACTAAGAAACACTCATGGAAACAGTCGAGGATGTAAGAGAAAGCAACGGACTGTGAAAACCACTGATGGGTTTGGATTTACCCGATGGCCAGTCTTACTATGATAGATGGGTCCATTGTTGGTGTGTTTGTGAGAGTGAGAAAATGAGAGCGGTTGCATGGAGGAAGTGAAGCAACAGTGCAGTTCTACATCACATTATAATGCAGTGGCAGGACAAATGAGACTGGGGCATGCCTGCAGGCTGCCGCAGTCCAGGTAATGGTTTGCAGAGTGTGGCTAATGTTAGCCTTCTACTTTCCTTTAGCGTCCACATGCCTGTGCTGAATGTGATAATGGATTAATTTCCAAAATCCTGCCGAATCATGCTGTTTACGAGATGTCATCTGTCCCACTTTGCACCTTTACGACATCCAGGCATTAGAGCAGGAAGAGAGGGGGTCTGCTGTCTGTTTAGGTCCCGATGGTGGGCTGCTGTGTTAAAACAGTTAACTGGCATTGTGCATAAACAAAATATATATATATACATCATGAGGATTATTCTACATTAAATGTCTGCCAATAGTACCCTTTCACCTAAATCTTACCCACTGGACCTTTAAGAGACCTCTGAAAAAGCCGACATAATAATAATGTGTCCAAAAATAACACCATTCAAAAATATATATTAACTTCACACATGAACATGTAATAAAACAAATTCAGGTTCATTTTACAAAAAACATTGACCATAAAGTATTGTATTGCAGATAAACTGGGTAGGATGAACACAGAGTTTCATAATGACTTGACAGTATATTGTAGTCTTTTCAGTAGCAGTTCTAGACCAATTTCACTGAGGGGGCCAGGCTGGGGCCAGGGGTTTTGTCAGAGGGGCACATTCAACCGAGGACAAAAGAGAAAAAAAACAGTGTTCAAGCTGTCGACATTTTTAGTTGAGTAGCCTATAGAAAGTAGTAGCGCATAAAAACTCCAGCGTATAATACTTTGATTCATATTTGTTACAATTACAACTTTAATTCGTGCTTTCCATGTAAACACCCACAAATCGTTGTTTTTGTGCAATTCCAAAGCTAATGAAGCAAGTCTGATGGAGTCTTATTGTACCAAAGTTACAAAACCTTAAAAACATGTCTATAGTCATATATAGTTTATGAGGAAATAGTCTGGTGCTCTAGGTTTTAGTTTCCTTTTGCTCTGTTTACTACTATGCAACTGTGCATATATAGTTAAAATCAGACTGCAGGCAAGGATAACAAGCTTCAAACAGAAATGGCAAATAAATATTGTTTGGTCATTGCACTGTGATTACATTCCACACCAAAATGTTTTAATTTAAAATGCATCACTGTTGTTCACGATAGAGTTTTGGAGCTTCAAGACTTATTAAATGCTGCCGGCCCTGTTTCAGTTTGTAAACTCTGAGGTTATTTTTTAGTCTAGATGTGCCCACGTTAGCTTCCTGACAGGGTCTTATAAATCATGAGCTATCCTTCTGTTTCGTCGCACTTTAATCACATGACTCTTTTCCAGAGGACAAGAAATAAAGTGGCCTCACCCTTACTAGAATATCATGTGATATCTGTTTTCAGATTATTTCTGATTAGAAGCTAAAATACCCTGGATTATTTCCATTTCAAAAATACCTTTTATAAGGAAAATAGTATGAGTGTAGATGAATTTCTTTGTACCTGTGTGTGTGCATGAAGTTGGACAATGAGAAGAGGAGAGAAAGGGACGCTCACTCTGGAGGAGTTGAAGAACAAGAGAACTGGTGAGACAAAGAACGATGCAGCAGACGTAGTGAGTTAGAGAGGTGACAGGAGCAGAAGCCGGGAAGACAATTTAAGACGAGAGACATCAAAGAGGACAAAGTGAAGCCAAAATGAGAGAGGGAGAGTTGAATAGAGAAGGGTTAATGAGAAAGTAGAGCTGAGGGGAAATGAGATGAAAAGGTTTAAGTTTTATAAAGTAGAAAGAAAAATGTTGATAAGAAAACAGAGGGAAAAAAAACTAAGTATAAGAAAGAGGAGGCTACGAGTTAATGATGCCAAAGACCAAATAATGTGAGGGAGATAATGGATGGAATTAAAGAGGATGAATAGAGGTCAAAAGATGAGAGGGAGCAGAACAGCGGAGGAGAGGAGTGACGACCTGTGAATTGACATGACGTGGGCTGAGAATTAAAAAAGGAAGCCTTTGAGAGCAGCTAAGTTTGTGTGTGTGTGGGGGGGGACTCACCAGTCCACATCATTTGGGGACTCGCTGTGATGTATGTCTCCATGGAAACAAAAATTATTTAGGGCTTGCATGTATAATGTCGGAGAGGATAGCACCTGAGGTGGAGAAGAGAAGCTGAGGGGGAGGAATAGAGAGACAGAGGAAGAAGAAGGAAGATCAGAGCAGAGCTGAGGAACAAGATGGATCCTTGGTGAGACCCAACATGTGGTCTATAAATGAAAGCATCTTTCCTCAATACGCTCTCTGGATTTTTAGGTCTTTGTCATTTTTTTGCTCTCCTGTTGGTGTCAGCCTGTGGAGTTCATAGAGCAGCTTCTAAAAAACTAAAATATATAAATATAAAATAAAATTGCATTTCTACATTACGTAATAGAAAAAATCATTCTACCTAAAGCCAGAGGTAATTGGCAGCTTTTACATTAAGTTGTACTAAACAGCCCCCCCCCCAAAAAAACAAAGTTTAATAATTGATTAATTGATTTATTTTGCATTATCTGCTCTTTCTAAAATGTGGGAGTTATAGCAGGGATTGTGAGACAAAGAAAAGGGTTCCAAATATACAAAATCAAAACCTGTGTGTGCAGGTGAAGGGGCTGGGAGAGCACCTTCACCTGCACCACAGAGGATCAGTCAGCGCAGGTGAGAGCTGTTAGCTGATTGATCCTCATGCTTGAAAAGGCAGCAGCAGAGCTGCCTCAGAAGAACACACACTGGGGAAGAGACTGGGCGAAGCTGGAGGTCCAGCAGAAAGAGCTGGACCCTTTAAATTAAGTGTTTTTGTGACTTGTGTTAAAGTTTTAAATAAAGATGTTGCTGAGCCCGGAATGGTGTGACTGGTTCGTCTCTGACTGTCGTGGTGAGAGCCCCGTTGCATGGTCTACTGCCACACTGTGTTTAACTGATGATGACTGAGGAAGAAAAGAAAACTTTCATTTTGCTGGTCTGTGCCATAAAGTTGAGATACAAGGAAAACATTTAAACTTAATGTATGTTTTAATTAATTTCTTTCTGATATCATAGCAAATACAGATAATATTAAATCTGCATCAGTTAGTTTTATGGCCCCCAAGTAGCCATAAAACTTATGGCTACCTGGGGGCAGCACAACATCAACAACAGGCAAGCAGTTGCCTACTTTCACATTCAGCATACGCAACAATATAAGTAATCAATAATCAATGTTCACTGTTTTTAAGCTCTGTTTTTTGGGCTCCAACTACTCTTGTGGGAAATATCTGACTCTTTAGCTTCTAAATACTCCATTGTGTTCATCAGGAGCTCACTACCTTTGTCTGTCTGCTGTTTGGTGTTGGACAGGCAGCACACAGTCTGAACACAACACATGAGAGCAGTGAGGGTGAATCAGAACAAAAGGTTTGGGTAAAATGCTCTGTAGAGCTGAGAGGAGCTGCAGGACTGGATGCTGTGTCTTTGTTGGGTCGCTACTACAAGCGACCCCTTGCATGTTACAAATTACGTTATAAACCGTTCAAGACAACTAAACAATGAGCACATATGCTGTATATATATCTTTGCTGTTTGTTGTTACTGGTGCACTCGGTGTACCACTTGGTTTTACACTTCCATTTGTGAAAACCAAAAAAGTCTTCAGTTGCTCCAGAGGGAGCTGTTGGAAATCAGACATATGTCCTCTTGTAATGTCACATGATTCAGCCTTCAGACCTTTGTAGCATGACACACCCAAATCTCCAACAGCTGGCCGTATAGTTGCATTGTGGGTCATGCAGGTGCCCTGTCTTTGACTTGGAAATAAAATGTGTGAAATAAAGAAAATAGATAATTGGTTCCCTTGCAGTGACCATCATGAGTACAACAAAGCTACAGAAGTGCTATGCTAAACCAGTGTAGTGCCCAAAGGCCCTCCCAAGATTTAAAGGCTGCAGCTCTATGATGCTGTCCAGCTACACCAAGGGGGTGTGTCTCAGGGGTTTAGAGCAGTCGACCTCTAACTAGAGGTTCAGTGGTTCAATCCAAATTCTTTCATAGAGCACTTTATGATCATCAAGACTAGAAATGTCCCCTTGCTTTGCATGACAGTAAGGCACTGACTTCACATTCTGGTTGAACGTTTGTGTAGATCAGCTTTAAATAAGAATACAGTGTGTACTGGATAACATTTTCAATTGCAATTTTTTGTAAATCTGCTGCTGTTACCTACAGTTTACCCCTTGCTTGTGCAATCACAGTAACCTATAGATATAAAAAAGACCATTAGAGTGTGTTTGTGGCAGCAGGGGGAGTTGAGTCAGGAGAATTCTTCATCACATCTCTGTAGGAGGTGTTACCTTGGATTCTTTGCATTTTTGCATGTGTACATGTATTTATATTATTGTGTGTCTGTGTGTGTGTGTGACTGAGTTAATGAGTTATTTCTACTCCTGAAGCCGTGCCTACACGTGTGTACGTGGTGCTTGTGGGAGGTGTGATAAGTACACGTTATTCATATGTGTGTGTGTGTGATATGAATTTCAAGATTTGAATCTGTTTGTTTCCAGTTGTTGTCAAAGTGAACTGCCTAATCCTGATTAGCATTGTCATCCTAACATTTTACTTTACATTTTACAGGTAATGAGCCATCGCCGTTGGGCACAGTGGAGAGCTACAACCCTGTGAAGCGGCGCTGGGAGTATGTGGTGCCCATGCCCACTGCACGCTGCTCCTCTGCACTCCTGCAGACAACCAGCATGCTCTTTGTTATTGGTGGTGTCGCCCAGGGACCCAGTAATGCTGTTGAAGCCCTCTGCTTACAGGAAACAGTGTGACTCACATACAAGCACACACAGGGAATAATGCAACGTTGATATTTTAGTCATGTATGTGCAGAAACACAGGAATTGGATCCACGGATCACACTTTGAGATACTTTTCTATCTTAATGTCCCACCCATGGATTCCTCTTGTGAACTGGGATATATACGTGTCACCTTCAGCGAGGATTTCTAAAATGGGATCTGCAGAAACAGTTTGAGACAGAGATGGACGAATACAAGATTACAAGTCAGTCTGACTGCTGTGACTGGCAAGAACAGAAAAGTGACAGCTTTTCTTCTCGGGGGAAATCAGAGGAAGAAAAAAACATGAGCAAAAAAACGATACACACACACACACGATGTGTCTGAAGAAACAACACGCCTTTAAACTGTTGAGCATTTTTCAGAATAAAAGCAGGGTACTTTGCTGGATAATAAAGGAACATAGGGCCATATCTGTATTTCCTCTTTGCAGCAGCGTCGCTCTCACCTGCTGCTGCAACAGCAAGCTTGGACACTTTTCTATATGATCAGTGACGCTCTGGGAATGTGAATGTCTGTTTTTGTTCTTCTCCTTTGGTTGCAGTGTTGTATACATTACGTGAGACATTTAGCATTGCTAGCCACCGTTACCACGCTGTCAAAAAGAGTGGCCCTTGATACGAGTTGCTCCGCAAGCGGCTCAAATGATCAAATGATGAACGCCCAGTAAAACGCCGGCTGACGTCGACCACAGTCACTGTGTTTCCTTTATGTGCAGTTGGTGAAGGTTGGTTGACTGTGGTTGAACTTGTCGGGATCTCGCTCTGCTAACCATATACCCGCCTCTGCTACAACATGAGCACAGCAGCAGTCAATCAGCAAGCTCAAATGGTTCCTCACACTGCAGAATTGAGATGTAGGAGCTAATGGAGTGAATGCAGAGGTAGTCAAACAGCACCTGCTGCACTGAAGCATCCTGAAAGATAAATAATAATCTAAACCTCAGCCACCTGACATTATATTCCCCTCGAGCTTTATGATTGATGGCAGAACTATGTTTCTTTTAGCTCAAACTCAGCAGCCAGATGATGGATGAGGAGGGGAAGTGTATCTGATGATAACTGTGCAACATTTTGGAGCAATGAAAAAATGTGGGTATAGTCAGAGCATCCTAAGGTCCAGGTTACGACTCCTGTGTCAGATCCCTGTTCGTAACTGCTTCTAGGCTTCATATTTTTTTTAATTGCTGTACAAAACGGACAAAATCCTACAATATATACAGATTAGTGTTTTATTGTTATGACCTCGGTTACATTGATTCAATGTTTTCCTTTGGGTTTTCCGATGGACTTGTGGTGATCCAGGTGTGAAGTGCATTCACACCTGTCTGTTGTGCAAAAAGACACAATGAAGTCAGATCACATTCAGAGGTGGTCTGTGCGGCGTGTGGCCACATAATTTCAGCAGTTTGAATATGTGTTGGCCATTTTGAAGGAGCAATTGATTCTCCAAAGACTTCTGATCGATTCAGTTTGTTTTGGCTGAGGTAATGCTCTGTATAAGAGTTGGGGATAAACAATGATGGAGGGAGCTGCTCTGCAGAACATCCTGTGACAGATTCAGTGACCTGTAGACAGCAGACGAGGCCAGGCAGGACACAAAAAGGATGAGCTGCTGCAGTGTTTCCTTTTGGCTGGAGCCTCTTTTGAGCTGTGTCTCGATTCAGCGGCCACATCCTGCGGAGGACTCGGTCTACACAGCCGACATCAGCTGCATCATCCAACGGCCACGTACACGCGCATCGGCTGAACCGAAATGAGACGGTCTGGGCCTCCTAATGCATTACCAGCTTGTACCGCCATTACAGCCGTCGCCTAGCAACAAAGCTACAGACAAAATGTTCTTTGGTTGAACTATATTGAAAACATGTTTTATTTTAACATGTGTAACGTTAGCTGTTCGGTTAGAACTTAGATTTAAAGAATACATTTTCCTGATGTTGAAATTAATTATAATGAATCATGGGATACGTTGGGCCAGGAAGGATCCACCCGGTGGAGCCTTCGTTGCTCGGGGGTGGAAGGACCCATTTGTCGGCTGTATTTGGAGGAGCCTTCAAATTGGGACAGTCTTGCGCCTCGGTCTACGAATGCAGCCGACTAAGGATGCGGTCCCTGATTGAGACACAGCTTTGGTCTGTTCTGCTGTGGACTGTTCCTGCCACATTTGAAGCATTTTTTTTAAATCCATGTGAACCAGTCATCCTCTTCTCCATTCAGAATTGATGCACTGGAACAATCCATCATTACAGCTGAAGCAGATGCACTAGGTGGAACTGTCACACTGGAATTACCATTAGTCTGAGATTAATGTATCCCCTACATACCCCTATCCCATGATAATGATATTTGATGGTAAGTTTATTTTAATTCAATAGTGTTTTTGATGATTAAGTGATTGAAGACAAAGTGTACTACAGAATGATAAATTGATGTGAGAGCCACAGATCATTCAATTATCTAACGTAGATAATTAAAGAGAGGTCAGATCGCGGGATATGATTGGTCGGTCCCCAGATAATATTCTATACACGTCTCCATCTTTAAATTTCAAGAAATAATACGTGCTGCATCCAAACAATTTCAGATAATTAAAGAAATGCAAGAGGCTAATGAACCACTGTGTCTGCTAATACAGGAACCCCTACTTAAGAAGACATATGTTGATATATATGCAAAGAGGGAGGAAGATAAAAAGGCTGTAGAGTCAATTATACAAGTAATCATTGTTTATTACATAGGAAAACACATGCACACACACACACACACACACACACACAAATCTATTTCCCTCTCTTGCCCCACCTTTTGTGCTTTTTTGGTCTGCACCCTGGCACACCTTGTTAGCAGAGTTAGACTCGGATGAGTTGCCAGCTGACAGTTGGTTATTTCTGGTGCTGCATTGTGTGCACCTAATTGAGTGTGTTTGGTGGAAGCCTCACACCCCTCACATACTCTATGTACACACAAACATAGACGCATATACACGTGCACACTACAGCCCGTATGCACAGTCAAGCACTGACTTTCAACCCTAAGCATTCATACTTACTCAGATACTGTATGCTCTCTCACACACACACACACACACACACACACACACACACACATAATGCAGAATCTAGCCCCTAACTTTAATCATCACAGCTTAATGCCTAACTCTAATCTAATTCAAACCCTAAAATCAAGCTTTAACCCTCAAACAGGCCAAAATGTCCTCATTCCATAAGGGCTATGCTCAAAATGGTCCTCGCAAAGATGTAAGTACACACACACACACACACAGTTCTACTTGGCACTAACCACAAGAGCTTGGAGAGAATACACAGATCACTTTGTCGCTAAGTAGCTCTGCTGGTAGGGGACTGTGGCCCTCAATACACTGATTAGCCTCCAATTTGTGTGAGAGTGTGTGTGTGCGTATGTACCCTTGCATGTGTGCTTTTGTCATGGATGGATTTGGAAGTAAATACATTTTGGCAACAAAAAGCCTATTTTCATACTTCAACTTGCTCAAATACACCCAAAAGGGAAAAATGCATCAAGTGAAAGATTTAAAAACAAACAGCAATAGTTGGAGAAGCTTACACTTCACGTATTTATGGGGCTGCAGGGGATTTTCTGTGTTGCACTGTCTGCATTGTCCACCACCATCTCTTTAGAAAACAGTTTCTCTCTCTTCAACTGCTAAATTCACCCGCTGGTCTCTTGCTTTGTCTTATTTTATATTTCTTTTTTTATCTCAGTATTTGGTCTCCACCTGGCCACTTGTAAAATATGGTATTAGCTTGCTGAATATTTGACCACCTGCAGTAGCTGTCTCATGCAACTGTAAACAGTGTGGACCTTACAACCAAAACAATGAGCTATAAAAGGCTTAAATGCTGCAGCTGGAGATTTAGTCACATAGTCATTGAATTAAATTCTCATTTTAAAAAACTCTCATAAGTGCAATCATTTCCTGTGTGCGATCACAGTTGTGTACTTCTGACTGTATGTGGCTGTGTGACTTTCAGAGTCAGATTGTTTTACAGTGAAGTCCTTCTGCTGCTCCTGACGGCAGGTTGAGAAAAAGAACAGAAGGATGCTTCAGTGCAGGTAGCAGCTCATTTCATGCTGTACCTTTTTTTTAACAGGCCCTGAGCAGATGATGCACAAGCATTTGTAAATGTGTTCTTACAGGACAAGAGCATTCATTTAGTTTTACGGGTTTCTGGGTGGGATTTGAACGATCTAAAGCATCTGAGGCACAGGTCAATGCAATAAGAGCCCTAAAATTATTCCACAGGTTTTTAATAAAGCAATCTTGTAAAATAGAAACAAATGCACAAGCATAACACCTTCTTTTCAGGCATGTTTCATCATCTGGAGCAAACAAACTTTCTTACATTGCCCCCAAAAGGTTGCCTTGTGTATCATTACCTCTTGAAACATCTGTTGATTTGCTGTCCCCTCTTGTCCAAGAAACATTCAGGGCCCTGTTTCAATGTAGGCACGCTGCTTGATTCACAAAAAACAAGATTCACAGACTCAGGTTCTGACAAAAGAACGGGGGTGCGTTCAGCATGGTGCCAAGCCGGGGGTTGAAGAAGCTGACTTTACAGAGTTTTCACTTTTTTGCATCCTTTGTAGAACTGTGTCTTATTTTTGACAATGAAAAGGCTCTTTTTATGATTTCTGTGCAGGAAAAAATGAACAGTTTCCTGGACAACGAGGAACAGTGTCAAAACCTGCAGGTAGCATCAATGTGTTCCTCTCACATTAACATACCCACATGATCTCGTTGTGTTTCGTCTCATATTTGGCCCTGAAAAGAAAAATCTAACATCCACATGACTATTACTGTTGAAGTGATCTGGATTAGATATAATGTTTTGTGTTCTTTTGTTTTCAAATTGTTCATTGTTGTTTGTTGATATTTTTTCCCTCCAGATGTTTGTGCTGTGGATTGAGGTCGTGAGGTGACACATGTGTCGTTGTGTTGTGCAGATCAGAGCTGGGTTCCTCAAAGTGGTTGTAACTAGTTGTGTGTTCTTGCAAAGCTTTGCTTGGGCTCATGTCACAGCAGATATTATTTTTCGATATATACATAGATCTGTTTATTTTTACCATGTTGGTCTTGTACAGTACGTAGTCACGCTCGCTAACGTACGGCTCTTAAGGACAAAAGTCTACAGAAGAATGACAAGAAGGTGAACAAAGATATATTTGCCACCAACATATTTTATTAGTATTTGAGTATATGAGTGGTTTTTAACTCTCATGGGTTTTCAGACTGCAATCAGCAGAAAATAAATAAAATAAAAAATGTGTGGGAGCTTTGAACCGAAATGCTTCAAAAAGCTGCCATCTCCGAATCCCCAGCAGCTGGAGAACCACTGGTCTTCAAAGCTGTCCATCATTTTCAGAGCTGAGTATTAAACTAGTTTGTACAGACGTGTCTCTGCTTCTGATCTCTCTGGCTGTACTGTGCTGCCTCCCTGCAGTGACTGACTTGGTAAAACCTCTGTGGTCTCAGTGGATCAGTATTGCTGTGTGCTCTGTACTGTATGTGCAAGTGTAATTTGGGAGGTTTACTGAACCAAATCTAATGTTCTGAAGGTGATAAGAAAGATAGAAAACTGAACACAGGGAGAGGAGGACTGCTGTGTGGGGAGGTGTCGGGCAACGTGTGTGGAATTCTAAAAAGTTAAATATATCCTTATTTATGTTATAATACTTTTCACTTTGTATTTTATCCCTGTACTGACTGTGAAAACATATATTGGTTTAACTTCTGCCATTCAAATAACCACACACATAAACTTCTGCCACTTCAAATTACACTCTCAACATTAAATCAAGCCCCTGCAGCACT